GGGATGGGCCTAGGCCCTATCCCAAAGGATACAACAGACTCTGATAACAGAGCGGGAGGCAGAAAGGATATGTGCTAGGTAGGGTTTTAGTTGGGGGGGGTAGGGGTGGACGGGAGGGAGAGGGAACTGGGATTGTTATGTAAAGCAATCTTGTTTCTAATTAAAAAAAATAATATCATTATTCAGAAGCAAATTAATATAAGAAAAATGTATATTTCTGCATGTCAACAATGTGGTAAGAATTTTAACATCTCAAAATATAAACACTACTTGTTACTATTACAATTCAAATTCTGGAAGGGAAAAGGCACTTTTCCCTGATGACCAACCCTGATGACCTGAGTCTGATCCCCAAAACCCACACATGATGGAAGGAGAAAACAGACACTCTACTAGCTGTCCTCTGACTTCCACATGTGTGGTGGGATATACACACATGTACATGCATGTGCACACACACACAATAAGTAAATGTATAAAAATTATTCTAATTTACAATTTTCATATAAATCAAATATTACCAAAGACAGAAATCCTTCACTGTGAGTCTCACAATTATTATATACTAAGAATTCCCATATTCTGAATATTTATGAAGACTTCAAACCAACTTTCTTTAGAAATCTATAAACAATTTGAACTCATTGCAACTTTGTCAAAAGCCTAAATTATTGTTAGATATTATGGATTTTGTAGCTCTGGCTGGAACTCAGTATGTAGACCAGGCTGGCCTTAAACTCACAGAGTCTGTCTCTTGTCTCCCAAGTGCTAGGCTTAAAAATGTGGGCCACCACACCCACCATAACATATTATATGATAAGAGCTGAATATGGAGTAACAGTTAACAATATAAAAGAACCCTGAGACCTACCTGGATCCAGGTAGGCAATGGAGGGAGAGAGGCTTCTTTGGGACTTGGCGGAGGGGAAACCCCGTCAACACTGCTGTATGAAATGCTATCAATATCCAAACTAGGCAACATCTACAACAGAGCAGAACAGCAGGCTTTCTGTTTACCATGAGGACTTAAGTAACTGTCAAAATAGACACCAAAACATGTCCTTTAAATTGTTACTGTGACTGATACTCTGAATTATGAAAACATATTATACAAAATATTTAAAAAGAAAAACACAAAATTCTGTCTCAAGATAACTTCACATCTACCACCTATATTCTTTCTGTTTACTGCCCATTTAAGCAAGGTAAGTCTTCTCAGACCTGATTTTTTCATTGTTATTAGGTCATAAATACCTTATTCTGTTTCTTTGTAGACTTTATATTTTAAATAACTGCATAACATTTCAAGGATCATACATTCCTTAATTATTTAATCACATCCTTATTGCCCGTTTTTCCCACTGTTACACACAGATTACAACAACAAAATAAACTCCAATATCTTCATACATGCAGTATTGTCTTCCCAAACTCTGAATTGCTGCATCATGTTAGATAGATTTTGATTAACTTTTTGAGCCACAGTGCATGGATACTCAATATTCTTTATAGTTACTGGCAAAACACTATCCAATCTGTTTATATCATCAAAAACATAATTCCAAGTTTTATCCAATCCTCAATTAAAATTGGCAGTTTTGCAACAGCAATAATTAAATGGGAGTATTATTGTCATTATTTTAATTTTCATTATCTTAGCTACAAGCAAAACTTGCATTTAATTTCCCCTTTATTAAACTGTACTTAACCCTCTTGTAGACTCTCATTCATGGATTGGGTTACACCTGGATTTAGATCGTTTTCTTATAACTTTGTATTTAAAAACAAATTCTTCATCAGAATCTTCCTTTCATATGTTCTCACTGTAACTATTGTCCTTTTTAGTTAAATTTCTTTAACATATATAACCTTTAGATTTTAAGTTCAACTCTCTCTTCCCAATTATATCTAAAGTATTTACTTTATTTCAATCCAATATCCAGAATTTGCTTCAGTTTTAATAAAAATTCAATGAAATTATCTTCAAATTTTTATGATTTTTTTATTTTATAATTTAGACTGGCCAGTTTGGAGCTCACTTACTATATAGTAAGAATTTGGAGTCTAAAACCAGTTTTTTCTTATGTCATTAAGCTAAATACAACAAACATTATTTCACTTATATGAATCCTACTCTCATTAACATAACAAGTCTCTACCGCGTTCTGTATTCTTTTTAAGTAACAAAGCTAATTCTGAAATCCCATTATACTGGTCTAGTAACTGATGATGCTTGGCCTTGAACTTGCTCTGTAGTTGAGGATGACCTTGAATTCCTGATCTCTTGGCCTCTCCCTCTCAAATATTGGCTCAAATAAGTCACCATGCCTGGCTCATAACAAAACTCTTTATTTTCCTAAAACCTTTATTCTTTCAGATATCAAAATTATCCTAAAGTTCAAGGAAACAAAAGCTTATGATATTTATAAAAATTAGCATTTTGATAAAATTTCACATTAAATTGGGAAGAGTTAATTTGAATAGTTTTCATTCATGGCTTATGACTGGATAAAATTTGAAGTATATTAGTCACACCCTTCATTAACTCTATTGTTTCTTTTATTGTATGTTTTGGTTTATTTTAGTTTTTTATTTACTTGTTTATTATTGAGGCAGTGACTGCCTGTGTAGAACCATCTGACTAGCTAGCTAGAAACTTGCTGGGTAGATCAGGCTGGCCTTGAACCTGTGGCAATTCTCCTATGGCTGCCTCCTAGGCTTGGACTACAGGTATGTACCACCATGCCAGGCACAGTAATTCTTTTTAAAAGGTAATTATAGTACTCTGTTCAACCATCCCTTTAGAATATTGTCCAGTCACTTTGATATGGACCACTGACTCAGAAGAGGAGCTGTGGAACAAGGACAGAGGCATCACAGGTTTGCAGTAATAAAGGAACCTTAATGAAAGCAAAGTCTTCATAAAGTTACATAATCGATGTTAGGTACTAATAGCTTAAGTCTGTTACTTTGGCAGTACAGTTGGGGTGTACAAGCACACCCCCACATACCTGCACAGAGAGCTGAGGGGGGTCCTTCTTCTCTGATTTCATTTCTACAACTGCTATATTAGGTTTCTTGACTCCAGCTTCTCCTTTTCGAGATGATGGAGGAATGAAAGTAGTCACAGCTACAGAGTGTGGCTTGTTTACCATTACTCCAGCAGCTGGTGCGGAATCACTATTACTTTGGGTTTGTCCTGTGAAAAGCAGGGTAAAGAATGAGAACTATTCCTAAGATAAAAGGAAAACTCAAATTTAATGCCTGGACCTTTGTGACAGCTCTTGCACACAAAAGGAAAGCAGTGTCTCCCAAGCACCTCTCTCTTCAACATCACTGTCACCATGTCATCACACATATGCTCACATGTAAGCCTGTTAACTGTTGCCAGCAATTAGTTATTTGTATGTAATTCCCACTTCATATACTATCATAATCTTAAAATAATGGTTACTATCTCCATATTTCAGAAAGTCCTACTTGTTTTTTACATTTCAAAATAAAAAGTATTTTAAAAAGGAAGTTACAGAAGATACTAGACAATAGAAAGGCATTCCATTAATATTGTGAAATGACTATACTACTAAAATTCATTTTCAGATTTAATGCAATATCTACCCAAATTCTAATGTCATATTTCACAAGTTTAGAAAAGGCAATAGAAGAACTCATTTGTAACTACAAAAGACCATGAATCAAAAAGGGATTCTATAAAGTAAGCACTCTGTGGAGATATTACGATACCCAATCTCAAATTATACTACAGAGCCATGGTGACAGAGACAGCCTGGTCCTGGCATAAAAATAGACAGGTAGAGTGATGGAATAGAAGAGAGGATCCTGAAAAAAAGTGGCTATCCTCACTTAAATTTGACAAAGGAGGCAAAAATGTACACAGGAAAAAGATCTGTTTGAACAGGTACAGGTCACCAAGTTGGCAAATTCACTCATAAAAGTATCTCTCTGGGCTAGAGAGAAGTTCAGAGCACTTGCTGCTCTTATATGAGCCAGTGTTCAAGTCCTAACACCCACATCAGGTGGCTCATAACT